CACTGGAAGTCTTTAAGAAGACATTGAATAGCCATCTGTCTGAAATGGTATAGGGTTTCCTGCCTAGGCAGGGGTTTGGACTAGAAGACCTCCAAATCTGCTATTGTATTATTATCACCCGTGATAGGGGAAAATAATACAATGATCCTTGAACATACAGGTAGTTCTCCCAACCGTAACTGAACCTGGAATTATGGTCATATATAGTTGTGGTTGTAGAGGTATCATGTGACTGGACTTCCTTTTTTGAAATTTTCTGTGGCGGACATTAAGCAAAGATGGTAGTCATCAAGAGAATCCATTTTCTCCAATGGGCATTTTTGGGGCGGGGGGCGGGGGGCGGGGGGGGCAGAAACCGGACATAAATGCTGGAAATTATCAATAATATGTTGTAAAATGTGGTCAAATCACCCTGGGATGCTGCAAACGGCCATAAGGATGACTCAGTTGCCAAGTGACCAAAATGTGATCACGTGACCATGGTGGTAGGTGGTATACCTCCATCATAACTTTAAAAAAATGGGTTGCACGTAGCTCTGGGTCATTAAGCAACCAGCAGTCAGTTGAGGATTACCTGCAACGCCTTTTATAATGCCTATAGCTGTGGTTACTCACCTTAAAAAGGGCATTTCGGGTGCAAAAAAAAGACAATTAATTATCTGCAGAGAGCCTTTCTGCAGGAAAGCTAAGAATAGAACTGGGCCTTCGGTTAAGTGGGGTCTGCTCTGCACACTGAAGGCCTCTCTCTTCCATTGGATAAAGAGGCTGTGTGTGGAAATTGGCTTTTAGGACAAACTCCAGAGAAACGCTTCATTAAAAACGAGAGACACCCCATGGCTGTAGAGCCAGGAGGAGTTCTGAGGATGACAATGTCCTTCATCCTAGGACTGAAAGCAGCATAAAAGAAGGAAAAGAACCTAGCCTGGTGCTGATCTGGCCTGGTTGAAATGTTTTCCCCAACCCACCAACACCCTTCATGATTGAAAAGGGACAGACAGCCTTTCCCAATCTGCAAAAGATCAATTCACACGAAGGTAATCTGTGGGAAGCTGCATGCTGGGAAGGGGTAAAGGAAGCTGGAGATGGCGACAGCACCAAAAAATGGATGGTTTCCTAATACCTACATTTTCTTTTCATCGCAGCACTACGCTCTGCCGCAGAGGTGGAAAAGTGTGGCAACTTTGCGACTTGTGGGCTTCAACTCCTAAAACTCCTGAGCCAGCCAGGAATTCTGGGAGTTGAAGTCCCCAGGTTGTAAAGTTGCCATAGTTACAAGTCTGTAGAAATTCTCAGTCACCCATGTTATGGTTGTCCCAAAACTGCATTTTCAGGAGGCAATTGGAATTGTTCTTTTTCCTTTTGAAGACATTTTGCTTCTCATCCAAGAAGCTTCTTCAGCTCTGACAGGATAGTAGGGAATGGAAAGAGTTATATTCCTTGAAGACAGCTGGTCATTTGCATCCTTTTAGGTCATTGAAGCACTTGGAGGTTTATCTGCGACCTCAGGGTCACCTGAGTGGTCCTCCTGGTTCCTGTGGTGTTCAATTTCCCCCTCTCTGGAAATCCATTACTACTCCCACACCATTCCAAAGGTGTTCACCCCAAATTTTATAGCTAAAAAACTTTTAGAACCAGGAGCACCACTCAGATGATCCTGAGGACACAGATAAACCTCCAAGTGCTTCAATGACTCCAGCTTAAAGGATGCAAATGACCAGCTGTCTGCGAGGAATATAAATCCTTCCATTCCCCAGTATCCTGTCAGTAAAACTGAAGATGAGAAGCGAAATGCCTTCAAAAGGGAAAAAAAAAACCCAAGAAAGTTTAGTTGCTTCCTGAAAAAGGCACCTTCGGGATGATTGACATAGTTGCCTACCCCTGCTCCACACTCTGTTCTCTACACTCCACGGAGCAGCTTGTAGCAGAGGAGACCACTGTCATAAACAGCCTCCTCCACAGGTCTTATGAAATACAAACGGGGCCCCATGTTGCCCACCTCTCCCACTTAAAAGACCTTTTCAGAAGAGGAACCACACCCAAGTGCATCATTATTAAAAAGTAATGGTGATGAAGAATGTTTTAAATATCCGATCTAGCCCAGATTTGGATCTTACCTTCGGCCTTCCAGGGGTCAGCGCTGACAACTGGCGGGGCTCCCCAAGGGTCTGAGGGGGGTACAGGAGGTGCTACGGAAGCTCCCCAAGGGTCTCCTGTAGGGGCTGCTCCAGCAGCAGGGGGTCCCCATGGGTCCGTACGAGCTGTGGGCACAACCGTGGCAGCGTTGCCCCAAGGGTCAGCAGGAGGAGGCTGAGTGGCCCACGGGTCAGCGGGTGGTGGAGCAGTGAAGACATCAGCAAGGTCCATCAGGGATGACTGGATGATAGAGAAGGCAACAAAGATTGTAGTGGGAAAGAGAAAAATTATAGCGCTGTTCCATTTAACATCCAGTGGTTTCTCCCTTCCCCTGGTCTAGAGCAGGGGTCTCCAACCTTGGCAACTTTAAGACTAGTGGACTTCGATTCCCAGAATTCCTCAGCCACCTGGCTGAGGAATTCTGGGAGTTGAAGTCCACCAGTCTTAAAGTTGCCAAGGTTGGAGACCCCTGCTCTAGAGGATCCTGATGGAATGCAGAGTTAGATATGTGGACTAGGACTAGTGGGCCCAGGCACAGATTCACACTCACCCCTAAATGTAGGTCCGATACTTGCTGATGCTCTGTTTAAACTGTTAATGATTTTATCCGCTGTGTTTCTATGATTGTTGATTTTAATGCTTTTTTAATGCTCTAATGTTTTTGTGCTGCGAGTGCCCAGAGCTGTTGGATACGAGATGAGTGGCAAATAAATTTCATAAAACTAACTAACTTATATTTGTGTTTGTAGATACTGTGTTTTATTAGTGTTGTATATCAGCAATTGCACAACCTCTGTAGATGCTACATGCCAAAAAATAAAAAAAATCTTTGTTCTAACTTAGAAGTGGACAGAATTGGTATATTTGCTTGAATATTTATTATGAACCAGAGTCAATTGCAACAGCTAGGCATCTTGCTCTCAGTAACTGAATTCAAAGGCTTCGTTACACAAAGGTCCATTTCTGGTTTTCTTTTTCTTTTATTTTGGAAGAGTCATTTAAGTCTTTTCAACTCTGACATTATTACACAAAGGGGAGAGAGAGCACCTAAGATGATCGCCTGCAAATCATCCAGAAATCAAGGGAGAGATTTTGATTTATATTCACTTTTGGTTTAATTTACAACATAATATTTGTGCAAAGGTAAAAAAACCCACAGCTTCAATTTATAAAGTTCTTTGGAAGAAGATACAAAATGGTATTAGTTGACTTGAGTGCTCTCTGGGGAAGAAAGGTGATAACTGGCATATGGCTCTGGCTCCCTCTCTGCCTCTGGCTCCCTCTCTGCCTCT